CAGACATTTTAACATTCTAATAGACTGATCGCTAATTAAACATTTGAAACGCTAATCTTTTCGGCAACTAAAACTTTTAAATGGTAGACACCAAACATATTTAATTGAACAAATCAGTGACTACAAAAAGAAACAAGCTACCTTTTTGAGGAGAAAAATGTAATAATGGGCCAAAACTTTTAGCTAAAATCCAATTTGGGCCACATCTCAAGCCCAGCTTAGAGGTAATCAGATTGCTACAGATCCAACAAATATGAACCGTTAGATCTAGGTCATTCAAGAAACCCTCATCGTTGTTTTTCTCTTCCTCCAGTAACTATATAAACCCAAACTCTTCTTCTTCTTGAACATTTTTGTAAATCCTTAGCAGCTTTTTTTTAGGGTTTTTTTTTCTCTTCTTAACTCAAAAACAGTTGCAGAGGTTAAAGTGACGGCGCGAATTCGCTGTCCGCCTTGTACGAGCTCGAGCTTCGTCTTGGCCCTCGATTTTCTCTATACCCCTTTTTAAGTTTTTCAGTTTCTTAGTTAAGTTTTTTTGACAAGTATCAATGGCGATTAAGGCAACAAAAGCGGAGAAGAAGATCGTTTACGATTCGAAGCTTTGTCAGCTTTTGAATGAGTACCCTCAGATCCTTATCGTTGCAGCTGATAATGTCGGATCTACTCAGCTTCAGAGCATACGCAAAGGTCTTCGTGGTGATTCCGTTGTTCTTATGGGGAAGAACACAATGATGAAGAGATCTGTGAGGATTCATGCTGATAAAACCGGAAATAATGGTTTCGTCAATCTCCTTCCTCTTCTCCAGGTTCATTTCATAACTCTGTTCTATTGATTTTGGGTTTTGATTCGATGAAATTTTCGATTTTGTGGTTAACTTTTGTTGTTGAAATGATGTTAACAGGGCAATGTTGGGTTGATCTTCACTAAAGGTGACTTGAAGGAAGTCAGTGAAGAGGTTGCCAAGTACAAGGTTTGTTTCTTCATCGACTTCATTGATGTTGTTGCTTAATCTAAAAGTTGTATTACACGATAGTGCAATATGGATTGGAATAATTTGGATAGTTTATGGTTTGTTAATGACCTATTGCTGGAGATCATTAGATTGGAAGGTTAAATCTTGCATTTGGGGTTGAAATGGAATAGTATAATCCGTTCTTGCCACATTCTCTATTGTATTTGAGACTTGAGAGTATTATGTTACTTAGTTTCACTGAGTTTGGAGGAGACTACATTGTGGGCTTCCCTTTTGTGTTTTGATTGATTGATTTACAACTTAGGTTGTACTGTTGACTGATCATTTGGTTAGTTTATGCATTTCTTTTAACATGGAAAGTGAAAAAGTTTGCATTTTGGTTTAATTTGGAATTCTAGACCTGTTGTGTTCTGTATTGAAACGCAGCCATGTTCAAGTACATTGAATTTGATTGTGTTTTGGTTTCTTAGCTTCACATTATGTAGCTTACTTGTTGGTGTTTTGATTGATTAGCTTATAACTTTGCTTGTAGTGTAAATTGATGAGAAATTTCTTGTCCTGTTTTTGATAGGTTGGAGCTCCGGCTCGTGTTGGTTTAGTCGCTCCAATCGATGTGGTTGTGCCTCCAGGAAACACTGGTCTTGACCCTTCACAGACCTCTTTCTTCCAAGTGCTTAACATTCCAACCAAAATCAACAAAGGTACTGTTGAGATCATAACCCCAGTGGAGCTCATCAAGAAAGGTGACAAAGTCGGTTCATCAGAGGCTGCGCTTCTAGCTAAACTCGGAATCAGGCCGTTCTCTTATGGTCTCGTTGTTGAGTCGGTCTACGACAATGGCTCAGTGTTTAGCCCTGATGTGCTTAACCTCACTGAAGACAACCTTGTTGAAAAGTTTGCAGCTGGTGTTTCGATGATTACCGCGCTTTCTCTTGCAATCTCTTACCCAACATTAGCTGCTGCACCTCACATGTTCATCAATGCTTACAAGAATGTTCTTGCTGTTGCTTTAGCTACAGAGTATTCTTTCCCTCGGGCTGAGAATGTGAAGGAGTTCTTAAAGGTTTGGCCTTTGTTTTTTGAGTTTTAGATTTGTATATGATTATTCATGAAACTGTTTTTGTAACTGTTAATTTATGGTTTCAGGATCCAAGTAAGTTTGCGGTTGCGGCTGCTGCGGATGCACCGGTTTCTGGAGAATCCGGTGGAGCTGCTGCGGCGGTGGCTGTGGAGGAAGAAGCTGCGGAGGAGTCTGATGGAGACATGGGATTCGATCTCTTCGGCTAAAATACGCTGTCTTTGCTCTTAGTCCCAATTATCTTTATGATTAATGTTAAGGTCGAAACTTTTTAAAAAATTTCACTTTCAGAATTTCATTGTTTCACGTTATGGATATTTTGTTTCTTTATCATCAATCCCTTTCTGGTTTTAATTTTCTCTGAATTGAATTTTATTGGTGAACAGTTTCATTGTTGCACGTATCAAAAAATCACTTTCTGGTTTTATCCTCGTAAGAAAATTATACATTAACGTAATCAAAATTGAGTAATTTAGGCATTTTTTGTATGATTACGGTTGGTGTTTAGGTCTTTCTTTAAGTTTTTTTTAACAAGATTCATAACAATAACCTATTGCTCGAGAGTATTGACTTGCAAAGTGAAAATGTTTGCATTTTGGGTTTAACTGGAATTCTAAACCTCTTGTGTTCTGTTTTGAAATGCAGCTTAGCATTCTGATTTGAATTTGAGAGTATTCTGGTTTCTTAGTTTCACATTCTGTGCCTTCGCTTAATGTTTTTTAATCCGTTGGTTTCTAACAAAGCTTGTGTTGTTAAATGATGAGAAATTCCTTCTCCTGTTTCTGACAGGTTGGAGCTCCGGACTCGTGTTGGTTTAGTTGCTCCAGTCAGGGCGTTATCTTATGGTCTCGTTGTTGAGTCAGTCTACGACAATGGCCAAGTGTGTTAGCCCTGAGGTGCTTATAACCTCACCGAAGAAATCCTTGTTGAAAAGTTTGCAACTACCGAGCAACTTAGAATTTGTGGGTTTTCTTATATAACTAAGTACGGTTGATCTTTGTTTAGGTGGAAAGGTCGCTTAAACCACCAAGTTAGGTAAATTGGCCAAAAACATCACGAACACTAGAGTTTCAACAATTTACCTTTAAAGTTTGCAAGTTGAGAACCTCAACATTTTGTTGTGCCCTGCATCTCCTTCACTAACTCC